TTGAAGTTTTCCTTCTAGTACCTTTGTAGGGTTGTGTTTGTGGCTAACTATTAATTAAATCTGGTTCTGTTGTGGAATATCTTATTTGTCCTTCTATGGTGATTGAAAGTTTTGCTGGGTATAGTAGTCTGGGCTGGCATCCATTGTTTCTTAATATCTGAAAAATACTTGAACAAAACCTTACGGCTTTTATTGTTTACATTGAGAAGTCAGCTGTAATATAGGTTTGGCTATATATAGTACTTGGCCTTTTACCTTTGAAGCTATTAATATTCCTTCTTTAATCTGTATATTTTGTGTTTTGATTATTACGTGGCAAGAGTACTTTTTTTAATCCAGTCAATTTGGTGTTCTGAAAGCTTTTTATATCTTCATAGGCATGTCTTTCTTTAAGTTGTGAAAGTTTTCTTCTATGATTTTGTTGAATATATTGTCTGTGCTTTTAAGTTGGACTTCCTTTTTTTTCTCCTATATCTATTATTCTTAGGTTTTTTCTTTTCATGGCATCACATGTTTCCTGGATATTTTGTATAAGCTTTTATTAGATTTAATATTTTCTTTAACTAATGAGTCTGTTTACTCTATTGTATCTTCAGTTCTTGAGATTCACTCTTCCATCTCTTATACTCTGTTGTTTATGCTTGCATTTCTGGTTCCTTATTATTTCAGTTTCTTACTATTTCTGTTTCTATAATTTCTGTAACTTGTGTTTTCTTTATTGTCTCTAGTTCAGTTTTTAAGTCTTGAAAAGTTGCTTTCATATGTTTGATAGCTTTTTCTTGGTTTTCTTTAAGGGTTTTGTTGATGTCTTCCAATTTTTTTTTTTGGCTTTTCCTCCATTGAGGGAATTTTTCATTTCCTTTCTAAGGACCTCAAACATTCTCCTAAAGTTATTTCGAGGTCATTTTCTTTTGCTCTGTCTACACTTAGTTGTTGAAGTCTTGCTGTTATAGGGCCACTAGTTTTCACTGCTATCATGTTGCTCTTTGTTGTATTGTATGTGTTCTTACCTTGTCTACCACTCTTTTCCTCTGATTGATGCAGTTGGGGATGTCTTATCTCTGGTGATCATTCTTCCATGTGCCAGTGGATCCAAGGCTCAGGTGGCTGATCATTGTAGTGCAGCAAGGGTATGTTTCTGGTCACCCCATTGGGCCCTCCATATACCTGGAAATTGCTCAGAACTCCCAAGATTCACTCTGCAATATCAGTTGTAGTTTGGGCATGTTCTCACAGAGATTGCTTCCTTGTATCTCATTCTGATGAGGTTGCTCTCTTGGGTCTGCTCTCACAGATGTCCTGGTTCATGTTTACTCCCTCAAACATTCCAGATTTGTGCCAGGACCAACAGAGTTCTCTGGCTCTGGCCTATTCCCTTGGAGTTCCCAGACTCGCCCCTGGACCCCAGAGGTCTCTGGTTTCTGCCTACCCCCATGTAGGTCCCAAATTCATGTCTGAACCCACGGTGGTCCTGGCAGGAAGTGGTGACAAAGCTTGTCCAGGGTGCAAATCTGGGGGTCAGAGCTGAGCAGGTATATAGATGACAATTTCATGAGTGAAGGAAGGTACGCAGAAGGCAGGAGCAGCAATGGTGGACAGGAAATAAAGCAAGTGATCGGTGCTAGTAGTCTTCTTAAAGAGACATGGGCCCTTTTGATACAAGCTCTACGGATGGCAGAGAGGAAGTTTGTCTACATCTACACAGACAGCCATTATGCGTTTACAATGGCCCACATTCACTGGGAGATCTATAAAATGCGGGAATTATTAACAACTGCGGGAAGGAGATGAAAAACAAGACTGAAATCCTGGCATTACTAAGGGCCCTCATCCTACCCAAAAACGTAAGCATTATTTATTGCCCAGGACACCAGAAAGGCAATGATCTTGTCACCAGAGGGAACCATATGGCCCATGAGGTAGCTAAGCAGGCTGCACTGGGCAGAGACACCAGCCTTCCCAGAGTCAGAGGATATTTTCCCATATTCCACCCAGAATCTAGACACTATCCAAAAACTAAGTGCAGATTTTGACGAACAACAAAGAGATTGGAGATACCAGGGCAGAATTGTATTACCCAAAAATGATATCTCCGAGCTGGTCACCCAGATACATCTATGGACACATTTAGGACACAAAAAGATTAAATCTCTTATAAAAAGACAGATTTTTATATTCTAAGACTTAACTCCCTCATACAGCAGGTGATGTCAACTTGCATCCCCTGCCCCAAGGTAAATGCAGGGTGTCAGAATGCCCCGGAGAGCATAAGAATGAGGGGAGACTGACCTGGTACTTATTGAGAAATGGACTTCACCAGATAAAACCAGGAAAGTATGATAATAAATATCTCCTAGTTTTTATAGCCACCTTTTCTGGTTGGACAGGAGCTTTTCCCACCAAATGAGAAATGGCTCAATTGGTGGTAAAGAAGAGACTAAAAGACATTTTTCCTTGATTTTACCTGCTCAAGGTAATCAGGTCCAACAATGGCCTTGCCTTTGTCTCCCACGTAAGTCAGGGTGTGGCCAAGACACTGGCTATCCATTGGAAATTACATTGTGCATACAAACCCCAGAGTTCAGTACAGGTAGAAAGTATGAATAGAACCATAAAAGAGATTCTGACCAAATTTTCCTTGGAAACTAGCACTAAAGACTGGGTATAGCTCCTTCCCCTAGCCCTGTTCCATGTGTAAAACACCCTGTCTCAGAGTGGACTTACCCCCTATGACATCCTATATGAGGGAGCTCCTTTCTTAGCCTCCTTAAGAGTCTCTCCCAAACCATATACTCACAAACCCGATCTACAGGTCCACATTGTCCAAGCCCAGGTCTGGAAGCCCCTGGCCAGTGCCTACCAGCCCAGACGCTTGGAGGTCTTGCACCTGTTCCAGGTTGTCGATTTGGTGTACATCCGGAGACATCAGTCCCAGATCCTTGAACCTCACTGGAAGGGACCCTACACTGTTTTCCTTATGACATCCAAGGTGGACGGCATCGTGGCCTGGATCTACACATCAGATGCCAAGCCAGAACAAAAGAGAACTGAAGGAACACAGGCTCATCTGGAGCAAGATGCAGATGAGAAAGTGTGCAAAGATAAGTCAATTTTCTCAAGGAATATTGTGAATGAGCTTTATGCTTTTCTTTATGTAGAATAAATGACATAGGCTGAAAAGAAATATTTTTTTCTTTCTTCTACATGTTGACATCCAGTTATGTCAGACCTATTTGTTGGCGATGCTTTCTTTTACCATTGTATAACATTAAGCTTTTTGTCAAAAATCAGATGTTCATAGGTGTGTGGGTTAATATCCGGGCCTCCTATTTGATTCAATTAGTTTATTTTTATGCCAATACCAAGCAGTTTTCATTATTTTATTTCTGTGATAGAGCTTGAATTCAGAGACAGTGTTGTCTCCAGAAGTTCCTTTATTGTACAGGATTGTTTTGGCTATTCTATTTTTTGTTTTTTGTTTTTGTTTTTTTTTTTTGTCTTTCCATATGAAGTTGATTATTTTTCTTTCATGGTATGTGAAGAATTGCGTTGGGATTTTGATGGGGATTACACTGAATTTATCAATTGCTTTTGGTAGGATTGTCATTTTTATTATGCTGATTCTACCTAACCAAGAGCATGGGAAATCTGTCCATTTTCTGGTATTTTCTTCAATTTTTTTCTTCATAGTCTTACATTTTAAAATATAAGACAAATACAAACAATATATAATGATCGTTCTAAGATAAAATATATTGTCAATTATTGATTTTTAAACCATTTAGTTGAAAATTAAAGCCATGAACCTAACCCCTAAAATCACCATAAAACTGCTTGTTGGGCAGTTTGATAAAGAGGAAGGATCTGGAAGAAATGAGGAAAGTAAATAATAATCAGAATTTTTTCTATAAAAATATTTAAAAAACTTTAACAAACTCAGCATGAGATGCTCAGAAATGTAGTGCATACTTTTAATTCAGTCACTAGGGAGACAGTAGTAAGAGAATCTCTTATGGTTCAATATCAGCTTGGTCTATATAGTGAGTCCAAGCCAACCAGAGTGACCATGTCAAAAGACAGTAAGAAGGAAATCCAATCCCTCTGCCCACAAACGTGTTTCTACATGTGGATGTGATTGTGTGTGTGTATGTGTGTGTGTTTTAATGTGTGATTGTATCAGAAAGTGTGACTACTTGTAAGGTAATTGGAATGGTGATTATGTCTGTAAGTATGACTCTGTGTGTGATGGTCATTGTGTGCATTGGGGTGTATGGCTACATCTAAAAGTGTAACTGTGTGTGTATAATGGTGGTTGACCTTGTGTAGACGTTCACCATTCCTACATCCATCTTTTCATCAGGACAATTATAAAATGTCCCTGTCTGTAATCTGTTGATGTCAAAACCATGACCAAAAGCAGAGCAGCAGCAACAAAGATTGTCTCATTTGTAGTCTTTTATGGCCTGAGAACAGCATTGTCTCATGAGTATGTAAAATTCAGAAAATTTCAAGGTGTTCTTGACATAAGGACGGAGTTTTGCTAACCTCTCCTGGTAGGCATGACCCTATCCAAGATTCCCATTATGGAGAAGCTATGTCTGGTCCAGAGACTGGGAAATACAGTGCTCCTATATAGAAACACAGCAGTTTGTTGCTCTTTTAAATTACATAGATATGCTAAGGAGATACAACAGTGTGGAAACACAGCATGTTCTGAGCACCTGCATGAAAGAGAACTAAGTGAAGTGCGGTGAATCCTTAACAAGGAAAAGGTCATAAAGAAGTTCTTTACTATGCCAGTTTCTATAACTATCATCATGGTCTTTGATGTCTTATATCTGCTTTGAGCACTGTTTTCCAACAAGGGTCAAAGTCCAGAGCTTGCTTCAGGATGAAGACATGCAAATAAGGCTTCTCTGTGCCCATAAAAACCAGCCCTGCCCTGACCCCTCAGCTCTGGCAGAGGAGCCCAGTCCTGGATTACCAGGTCCTCCCATTCAGTGATCAGCACTGAGCAAAGATCACTTACCATGGACTTGTGGCTTATTTGGCTTTTCCTTGCTGTTATTTTAAGTGGTAATTAATGGAAAGGAGACGCTGTCTGTGTGTTGTGTGGACATGAGAAAGAAAAATAGCTTCAGTGACAGTCTTCTGACCAGCATTTTCTGTGTTTCCAGGTGTCCAGTGTGAGGTGCAGCTGGTGGAGTCTGGAGGAAGATTAGTGCAGCGTGGAAAGTCTCTGAAACTCTCCTGTGCAGCCTCTGGATTCACCTTCAGTGATTATTATATGTACTGGGTCCGCCAGGCTCCAGGGAAAGGTCTGGAATGGTTCGCATACATTAGTGGTATTAGTAGCTACATTGACTATGCTGATGCCGTGAAAGGCCGATTCACCATCTCCAGAGACAATGCCAAGAACACCCTGTACCTGGAAATGAGCAGTCTGAGGCCCGAGGACACAGCCATGTATTACTGCACCAGATGCACAGTGATGCAAAGTTATTGTGAGATCAGACACAAACCTCACTGCAGGATGCTTATGACCAGCAGGGGGCGAAGAGAACAACCAGAGATCTGAGTCACAGAAGAGCCTATCCAGAGATGCATAAAAGCCTGGACTCCTCTGTCTGGGCTGACTCTACAAATCACACTCAGAGATTTTCTCTACAGGTATAATTTACTGTAATCTTTTAAGTGTAAAAACTTTTATTGTCATATGTTTTCCATTGTGATGTGCTATGATTTTTTGTTATGTTTGTCTCAGTTGCTCTAACCCTCTCATTCCCTCCTTTTATTTCTTCTCTCTCTCTCTCTCTCGCTCTCTTGTATCTGCATGTGTCTGTTGGGATGATGGACAGTGTCTGTCAGTGTGTCTCTCTGTTTTTATGCTTGTGTGTGTTAGAGTTTATGTATAAGTATAATTCCATACACAGTGATATAAAATTTTTCTCTCAATCAGCCAACACTATATATGTGAGGCAAATATTTCATTGTCCCCAGATCTCACCAACCGGATATACTTGTTGGCCATTGTTCCACATTGATAACAGTGTCTCTACATCCCAGAGGTGTTGGCTGCCATACCGATCTTTTTGTAGTTGGACAACAAGGAGTATAGATTTCTTTCAGGGAATCTTTTTGGCAAGAAATGGAATGACAGAACGACCTCCACAGCCTTATTATGGGTTACTTTTATAAATACATGTTATCCTCTAATCAGAACAAAATGCAAAGCATCACAAAAGGAGGAAGTGATTCTGTATGGGGACTGGAATCAGATCCTGAAAGGGCCAAAGTCTCTGGAAATAGTCTGATACTAGACTCAGGGCAGTCTTAGTATTTACCATGGTGATCGCACTGGAATTTAAGTTGGATCGAACAAGGAAAGCAGGCAAGGTCAAAGACCTCAGAACCCTGATGACCTTCACTCTCACCTTCATCCTCACAAAATATGTGCACATCAGATACAGGTGTGGATCTGGTAATAAAATGTGTGTCAGTCTCCATCATTGAGTCTGTGAGGATATTGCAACCAGTGTAACTCACTGATCTTCACTTAGCTGCAGGCAGTCCCTAATCTGCTCAACAGAGAGCATGTCTTTTGTTTATTTCTTTAATATTAATTAGTTGTTTTTACTCATATAATTCCCTAATTGAAAGGACCTAGGGAATTTTCTATTAACATGCCCATCCATTTTCTTTCCTGCAGGCTCCTTCCTACAGCTTATTTACTCTGCCTCTCAACAAAGGTTTTAAAAAGAGTTAACCAAGGTCTGATAATTCCTCACTGCATGTTAGGTTCATAAGGTTAGTGTCACTATGAAAGAACATATAAGCTTTGGAAATCAGAGTATGTTTTTTTCCATTTTTGAAATGTGATGACACCTGACAACTGATCAAGGCTTGAACTTTTCTTACCTTTGATGTTGTCATATCTGAGGCTAGGATTCTCTGGAGTTCTGTGAGTTATGGAAAATGGCAGAAAAGAGGTTGGTACTGACAGGTACAGCCATTAGGCAAAGCATCTGGAAGTTGCAGAAGGAGACAAGACAGCTCCTACAAAGCAGTTGCATCTTCTCTGCACTGCCCTTCCAGCATCAGGTCCATACAGTTCTGTGAGGACTTTGTCCTGACCAACAGGAAGCCAAGGCTTCTGTCATGGCTGTGACAGCTCTCAGTCACAGCAGGGCTAGTTAATGACTCAGTTACTGGAAAATGGTCCATCCACGCTGATGCCTGAGAGTGGTGAGTGTTGTGATTGTCTCTTATTTCCAAGATACCTTGGTTAATTCTTTTTAAGACCTTTGTTAAGGGATTTGTTCAGAGAACTAAACACCACAGGTCTTTTACTTCCTATATGAATATAAAGTAGATGTGGATCCTCAGAGGGGGGAGACTGAGGGAACTGAGAGCACTGGGTGGAAGACAGCTACTCCAAAGTAAATAAAAAGTGAAGTCAACTATTACTAAATAAATGTGTTTGCAAAAAGAGTTCAATAATCTGTCTGAGTTCTCCATGAGGCACATGTTCCCATTACAGACCCATCTTCTTTTCTTGACTCTATTGCCCCTGAGCTAAATTGTTGGTAAAAGCAGTGCTAGAATGTGTATTAATCCTTTCTGAGATGTTCATCTCAGATCCTAGATAGAGGAATAATCCACATAGTTTTATATCACAAAAGTTTATAATATATATGTTTATCTAAATGAAGAGTCCAAGAGTTTAAGCTGCAGGTTGACAGATCTGTTAGTGATAAGCTATATTGGGAAAATTTCCTTCCTCTTTGATGTCTTCTGTTCACCTACGGTTATACATCCAAGGACAGATATGTGTATGTGATGAAGAAAATTTCTGATATGGCTACACTCTGAGATCATGTGCTCCCCAAACTAGACCATAGGGTTCTACATGTTCTGAAAACACCAGTTTCAATATAGTGTTAATCAATTATATGTGGATATAATAAATTTAGGACACGGCATAGAAAATTCCATCCTGATATTTCTCAAAGAAGAAATTTGAAATGCCAAAACTATGGGAAGGAATACAGGAAAGCCTCTGGCTTCCCCCAATTTCCAGGGAAGAGTTAGAGAAAATATTGCTCTCATGGCTCAGGTTTTCTTCTGAAAAAAAATTAATATTAGGGTGTTTCAATAATTGTAAACATGGTTGTCTGATAACCAGTCTTCCTTGCTGAACTGCAAACATGTAACTCTGTTATCTAGGAGTCATAATGTTATAAATGAGCTTTGGGATGTTTAAGCGTTGAATATTTACAGGACACAACCATATTAAGGGTAGGTTCTCTTTTTTATTTTTTTTATTTTTTTTATTTTTTTTTTAGTTTTTCGAGACATGGTTTCTCTGTAGCTTTGGAGCCTGTCCTAGCACTAGCTCTTGTAGACCAGGCTGGCCTCGAACTCACAGAGATCCGCCTGCCTCTGCTTCCCGAGTGCTGGGATTAAAGGCGTGTGCCACCACTGCCCGGCTTATTTATTTTTTTAAAAAAAACAAACTATCTTTTATCATTTTACATACCAGTCCCAGTTCCCACTCCCTCCCCACCTTCCATTTCCTCCAACTTCCCACCTTCCATTTCCTCCAACTACACCCTACTATACCTTGCATCTACTCCTCAGAGAAGGTAAGGTACATTGCTTTGGGAAAGGTCCAAGCCTCCTTACTGTATCTATACTGAGAAGAGTATCCATCTGAAGAGAGTGGGTTCCCAAAAATCCAGGAAAAACAGTCAGGATAAATCCTGGTGCCACTGTCAGTGCCCCTGCAGTCTTTTTCAACCATGCAACTGTCACCCACATTCAGAGTGTCTAGTTTGGACCTATGCTGTTTCCTTCCCTGTCTGGCTGAAGTTGGTGAACTTCCATTAGCTAAACTGTTTCAGTGGTTGTTTCTATCATGGTCTTAATCTCTTTGCTCATATTTTCACTCCTCCCACTCTTCAACTGAACTTGGGGATCTCAGCCCATTGATTCACTGCAGGTTTCTTTCTCTGTCTCCATCGGTTGTTGGATGAAGGTTCAATGTTGACATTTAAGATGTTCATCAGTCTGACAATAGTGTAAGGCCAGTTTAGGCACCCTCTTCCCTATTGCTTAGTTTCTTAGCTGGGGTCATCTTTGTGGATTCTTGAGAATTTTTCGAGTATCAGGTTTCTTGCTAGCCCCATAATGGCTCCCTCAATGAAAATACCTCTTACCTTACTTTCATCTCTGTCCTTCCTCTATCTCAGATAACCCATTTCCTCAAGTTCTCCTCCCAGGTTCTTCTCTCCGTTACTTTTCTCCTTCCACCCTCTCTTCTCCCCAAACCCCCATGCTCCCAATTTTGTCAGTCAATCTTGTCTATTTTTCCTTTCCAGGAGGATCTATGCAAGTTTTCCTTAGAGTTCACCTTGTTACTTAGCTTCTATAGGATTATGAACTGTAGGCATATTATCCTTTGAATTACAGCTACTATTCACTTCAACTTACCTCAGGACACAAAAATAACACTTTTGGGCATATACCCAAAAATGCTTAATAATACTACAAGGATATTTTTCAACTATATCCATAGTAGCATTATTTATAATAGCCATAACCCGGAAACAAACCTAGTAGCCCCTCAACTGAAGAATGGATAAAGAAAATGTGGTTCATCTACACAATGAAGTACTATTCAGCAGTCAAAAACAATGGCGTCTTGAAATTTGCATGCACAAATGGATGAAACTAGGAAAGAACACGCTGAGTGAGGTAACCCAGACCAAGAAAGATTACAATGGTATGTACTCACTCACAAGTGGATACAGGGTAGGTTTAATTGAATTCTGTCATGGCTACAATTACCACCAATAATGTCAGTTTCTCCCTGAGCATAGCCTTACTTTTTGAGCCTAGAACAAGAGGACATAAATAGCAGGAAATGCAAACAGGATCTAATTCTGCTCAGGAAAACCATCCCACTCCTCAATCTGCAGCTCTGGAAAAGGAGCCCAGGCTAGGATTTTCATCTCTGTTCATAGATGATAAACACTGAACACATACCATTCACCATAAAACTGAGAATGAACTGGGTTTTTCTTGTTGCTCTTTTACAAGGCAATTTAAGGCAAAGAAGAGATGCTGAGTTTGTAAGTGTACCTTACAAACATCTTAAGTGTAAGATGGAAGGTAGACATGTGAAACAGAATCTTTCAACGTTTGCAGAGTCCTGTGAAAGGAGCAGCTAGTGGAGTCTGGAGGATGATACTTATAGCCTGGGGCAACCGTGTAACTCCCCTGTGTGCCATCTAGGTTCACCTTCAGTGATTACTATGTGCACTGGGTCTGCCATGCTCCAGGGTTAGGACTAGAGTAGATCTCATACATATAAGGATAGTGTCTCAATAAAATATACAAATTCTGTCAAGGACCAATTGACCATCTCTGTACCTCATAATGGATAGTCTGAAAGTCTATGATGAACCAAGTATTTCGTTGTAAAAATGCACATTGAGGAGAATAAGTATGAACCTAGATATAGGTCTCCCTGCACAGAGTCCTTACGAACAGAAGGGAACAGTGAGAAAGTAGGCA